TATATATAATTCTGGACTGTTTTTTCCTTTTACCAGTACTACTGGGGATTGAACCCCAGGGCCAGGAAAGCACTATACCAAGTGAGGTACATTCCCAGGCCTACTTATTTATTTTTACCACTACATATATTGTATAGTGCTATACTTTATTCATTTGGTTCCTTTTCTTTTGTTTGACACATTTTTCCAGTCTTTTGATTTTATAGATAATGGTGTAATAGACATCATTTGTGTCATTTCGTATGTGTGCAGTATGATGCTGGATTTTCTTAGTTAAAAGATAGTGTCAGTTTGTCCTCCATACAGACTGCTCCATTTTATACTCCCACAAGCTATGACTGAGAAAGCCTATTCTTGAAACGTACTGCCAATTTCTTTTTTGCTTTGTCAACCTGACAGATGATAAATGATGTCTTTATGTAGATTTCATTTTTAAGCACTGTCTTAACCAAAATATAATATAAAACAAAAATAGTAGGCAAGGTATTCCAAAGTCTTTAAATGGAAATACAAGCAGCCATAATGATTTGTAGAATTGTATTATGAGTACGGTAGCTAAAATTTTATCAACTCCTTTCCTCCAACCCAGTCACCCAGTAATAACAGTGCCTACAACTGGCTGATTTCAAAACTGGCTTTACAGTGATTTTCAGAAGAATCATTTTTATTTTATAAAAATTAAAATTACAGGAAAAAATTCCAAGTGTAGTTAATTTAAAAAAAAAGGAAAGAAAGAAAAATCTAGAATGTTAAAACTTATCCTATTCTATCATATACTCACGACTGCATCCTGCTAAATATACATAAATACCGACGTCTCCATATTCCTTCACAATCTGTAATAATGCAAAAACAAAGTTTAGCTTCTCTTGATTCTGTGCCAGGTGCAAGCTCCTTTCTACAAATACATATTTAAAGACATGAGACACTAATTCATCTACTTGTGCTACTTAGCTTTAGTAATTATGCACCTTTAAGCTAATATATTAAAAAGTAATTTTGTACTTTTGTTTTTCAAACTGACAGTGACAACTAAGGGTGTTAAAACATTACACTTTATTTTGGCATAATAAAGATATGATTTTAAAAATAAATCTTATAGAGATAGATACCTTAGAGAGATACCTTATAAAGATAGTCATAGATAATGAGACATCCAGGGTGTGTTTCAGGGTGTGTTTCAAAATAAGAGAATACATGGGAATACATGAAGTCAGTTTGGTTATAAATTGGTAATTGTTGAAGTTGAGTGAGTGTTACATGGAGATTAATTATATTACAGTCCCATATTTTAAAATGTCCAGGAACTGAAGAGATGGTTCAGCAGTTGAGGGCACTGGCTGTTCTTGCAGAGGACCTGGGTTCAAATCCCAGCACCCACATGGCCACTAACAACTGTTGATACCTCCAGTTCAGGGGATCCAACTCCCTCTTCTGACCTCTGTGGGCATTGCACGACACAGGTGCACTTACATACATGTAGGTACTACAGCCATAAAATAAAAATAATAAATATTTTTATAAAAATGTTCATAACCAAAAGTTGAGAAAATAACAACAAAGTAAGAGCTGTCAGAAGACTGCAGTCTGTCTGCCTGAAAGGACTGTGCTGATGCTGGGCACACAGACACTAAAGGGCTTGTTCTAGGTGACGCTTACCCCTGCCAGAGTTTTCACTCCAACAGAGTCAATGAAATTGACTTGTGTGAAGTCCAGAATGACGGTGTGGACATTTTCCCCTGGGGGCATGAATCTTTGTAGCTCTTCAGGGAAGGCGTTTTTGATGACTATTGGGGGATATTTTACTTCATCACCCTCTTCTTCAGGCTTTGTAGCATTTTCTCCATCTACTTCTGCATCCTATGTCAAAAATGAAACCATTAATTTTTCTAAACAACTCATTTGTTTGCTGAAAGAAATATTTATAGTGGAAAATAAAAGGCTCTTTTATCCTCAAAAACAGTATGACCATGTACTTTGGCTCAGTTTCTTCCACCTGTCTCTCTCTCTCTCTCTCTCTCTCTCTCTCTCTCTCTCTCTCTCTCTCTCTCTCTCTCTGTTTTTGTTTTTGTTTGGCCTAGCAAATCTATATTTCTTATTCATCTCCACTTTTACCTAATTTAGAAAATAGTCCTAGAAATTTCATCATGATAGACCACAAATTCCAATAAGTTAGAACATAAACAATAGCCTTTGAGCTTTTTTTTTGTTTGTTTGTTTTTTTTTGTCTTTTTGAGACAGGTCTCCCTGTAGCCCCAGCTGTCCTGGAACTCACTATGTAGACCAGGCTGCCCTTGAACTCCCGAGTGCTGGGATTAAAGGCGTGCGCTACCACGCCCGGCTTGAGCCTTTTTTTTTTTTTTTAATTTTTTTTATCAGCTAAATGACAAAGTACTAATGGCCATTTTTTCAAGTGTCATGGGATTTTTATTTTTATTTTTTATTTTTTCTAATGTGTATGTGTGTTTTGCCTGATGTAAGTGCAAACCTGTGGAGACCAGAAGAGGGCATCAGATCCCCTGGAACTGGAGTTATGGAAGGTTGTTAGCCACTGTGTGGGTACTGAGAACCGAACATGGGTCATCTGGAAGTGCTCTTAACAGCTGAGCCATCTCTCCAGCTTGCCCCATTTTTATTTTTTTAAAACAATGCTTTCACGAATTTCAAAAGCATCCTCATAACTGATCCTGGAGATAGGGTCTCATATATCCCAGGCAGGCCTCAAGCTCACTATGTAGCCAAAGTGGGTCTTGAGCACCTAATCCTGCTGTCCCTGCCTAAAGAATGTTGGGGATTACCGGGCTTGTTACCGGGACTTAGATCATTTCTAAGCCTTCTCATGTTAGCAACTTCATGCTGTATTTAGACTTCAATGCGGCAAAAGATGGTGAGCATGCAGGTCAAGAAAAAAGGGGAAAGTACAATGCAAAGATCACTCACCACTTTGACCACGGTCGCGTTCGCCACGTTGGCATTTCCAACTTCCTTAGCATACTTCCTCATGGCCTTTCTTCTTGCTCCCATGATGAGTGCTGGATTCACACCAGTCTTCACAGAAAGCAATGTATACAAGATCATGACTCCCAAGGATCCAGCCAAATGCTACCCAACCTTCACATTTCCCCTGTTCGGCTGCTTTTTGTGCCAGTGTATCACCCCAAAACTTGTTCTATCTTTTCCTCAGACGCCCTGAGCTGTTACTCCTGAGACCACTTGCTGCTTTTCTTTGAGTCTTTAGTCAAGATAAGCAGAAGCTAAAACAATTTTGGAGTGGTATTTACTAAACTTGGATTTCTCCAGTTCTTATATTCACAAGACTTTGTAGGTAGTGGAATTGAGTTTTATTCATGTCCAGAGGAACCCACATGATCTCCATAGTTAGAAATTTGATTACTTAAAATGTTTTCTGAGGGGCTGGAGAGATGGCTCAGCAGTTAAGAACACTGGTTGTTTTTGCAGAAGACCTGGGTTTGAATCCCAGCACCCACAGGAAGATAATTAAGTCAGCTATAAAAACAAATATTCGGGCTGGAGAGATGGCCCAGTGGTTAAGAACACTGGTTGTTCTTGCAGAGGACCTGGGCTCGAATCCCAGCACCCACATGGCAGCTAACAACTGTAACTCCAGTTCCAGGGGATCTGACAGCTTCTTCTGACCTCCACGGGCATTGCATGACACAGGTACACTTACCTACATGCAGGCAATACACACATACACATAAAATAAAAATAATTTTAAAAGGAGGCTAATATTTTAAAAAAATGGTTTTTGAAAAGGTAACCTATACATAAGACAGGGAATGAACAGTGGTAATGTTTACACAACCATGTAAATCTAGGTAATGCCACTGGATGGCACACTTCAAGTTATGTTTTGCATATTTTACTATAGTGAATGCTGAGAGAGTTAAGGGATTCCTCTGTCTCTGCCAAGCCACAATTCCCCTCCTCAGAAATAGTCACTCTTAATTTCTTTTTTTTAATTAAAACATTTAAATTGTTCTTTATTCTTTACTTATTACTCTTCTTTGTGACTCACCTTTCTTTTTAATGCGTTGCTATACAAGTCACTATTTGCATAGTAAATTGGAGCATTTATTTGGAATATTTTTATTCCAGGAATTTCTTTCACCTGAGACACAAAGCATTAATGAAGTTAATACCAATGTACATTTCAGAATCAAAACTGCAATTGCCTCCTTCCTCCAACATGAAGATAAATACAGAAGTTGTAAAGGGCCCTTTTAACATGCTTAGATAAATGGTATCACTCTACTCAAACTTGGAGGAAGAGTACATAGAGAAAGGCTTTTTTGTTGTTGTTTTTGAGACAGGGTTGGCTATGTTGCCCAGATGGTCCTGAACTCCTGGGCTGAAGCAACCCTCCCCTCTCCACCTCCCAAGGAGTGGGACTACAGTACTGTCTCCCATGTGCAAATTGAAAGCCTTAAAAAATACACATCTGCCTGCCTATTCATCTTATAGGACAGTCTTTCTTCATTTTTACCATTAAACACAAAGAGGAGAAACTGAAACAACATTCAAAAGGAGAAAGGGAAATGGATGGGAAAGAGGCTGCTGCCAGACAGCGAGAAGCAGGCAAGTAAGGTGAACAGAGGTTTAACTAGTTTGAGTCACAACTCAATATTCCCCATTTGATGGGAAAAATAGAACCCTATCACCAGCCTCATTTCTTAACCTTATAGTGAATCTGAGAGTTTTTTTTTCCCAAGCAGATGATAGACAAAACCAGTTTTAAAAGATTTTGTAAAAGTCTTTAAGATTCCATAGAAGAAAAGAACATTCAAGATCAAGGAAACTCTAAGCTAAAATCTTTAAAAATGAAGTGGAAGAATTCCAAAGTCCCACTACTTTTATTTCATATAGTTAAAGTCTCTATTTCACCATTGGCTTAAATTCATCAGAAGAAAACTGTGCATACACAAACTATTCTCTTAGTTTTGCTGTTATGTAAATGTGCATTTTAATTTCAACGATATCTACTTACCCTCGTTAAAAATAAGAAAAACTAATATCAGAAAGTTGGGCAGTTAATACACAGTACAAACTACAAAATTGAATCCAGATGATGAGTGGAAGCCGTGTCTTTTCACTTCTATCACTATCTATTCCCTCCACTTGCTTCTTTACCCCAGGTGAAAATGTTACTTAGCCCATCACATCACATGCTGGCAATATTTTAAAATATTAGAAAAAGGTCCTACCTCCTCGTATGCATCTATGTCAATGTATACATCACTGTCAGGAAGCTGTCCCAGGACTTTGTAGCTTGGACTGGAGAGAGAGAAGGAAGGGTAAATTCCATCTGGCTGAGGTGCTGCATGTGATTTGCCATGAGTATGGATTCTCTGGTGAGAAAACTCTGTCCCTCTGGAGACTTTGCTTCAGAGTTCTTTACAGTTCATACTCTCAGTGCCCTTCTGTTTCTACATGGAACAATGTCTTAGGTACATGGGAACTGAGGACCCTCCGGCTTAGAGAGCTAGGCTTCGGTGGGTGAGAATTTCAGCAGGCAGATGGGGAATGGGCCATACTGACCCTCTGGCACTCCTTTTCTGCAGGTCTAAATCTCACTGCTCCCAGCAAAGGTCAGTCCCAATCTCTGTCCAATGCCAGGAGCAAGGAAGTTTCTTTGCATAGATACTCGTGGGGTTTTATTTGTTTACTGTCACACTGTACTACTACAGAAGCAGGTGTAACTGTACATTCTAATTTTATGAAGATGATAAAATGTGGAATCAGCTTCTAGATCATAACAAACGTTTTAAGTCATGGTCTCATCACATACTATGCTCTTGGATAAGTTCCCCAATCATTCTGAGTGTCCACATGTGTGTAAACAAGATGCTGATAGTGATTGTAAGGATGTTGTAAGGATAAAATGACATAAAGCACTGATGTTTGTAAAGAGCTGGGCATATAAGCAATTGTCATAATTACTGTCACTCTTAATTCACCATCATTTGGTTTCCCACATGTGAACCTGCAAAACCCCAGCATGACCACAAGGGACAGGACATAAAACTCAACTAATCAGGGGAGGGAGAAAGAAAAGCATAACACTAAAGTGAAAAGAAAAAAAAAATCCTTGTCCAACTTATAGTAAGAAATCATAAAATCTGGCTGTGTGTAGTGGTGCACGCCTTTAATCACAGCACTTGGGAAGCAGAGGCAGGTGGATCTCTTTAAGTTCAAGTCCAGCCTGGTCTATGTTGCAGATTTTAGGCCAGCTAGGGCAATATAAAATAAACAAAAACAATAACAATAACCCTAAACCAACTCATAAATCCTATTCAATAAAGAAAACAAACAATATAAATCTCAAATTCTATACTGTATTAAAGGATATAGATATTTTGGTTTTTGTTTTTCCCATTGGGGAGCTGGGGATTAAGCCCAGGGCTTTGTGCATGATAAGTATGTATTCTACCACTGAGCTACATATCCTCAGCTCCCTAGATATTTTTAAACCATCATGTCCCCCAAAGCTCTGAGATAGAAAACTTTTCTATGTACTAATAATAGTCTATATAAAAGTAGGAAAAGTTTCTTTTAGATAAAAATGGACAGCTGTTGTCAAAATTTGTTGATAAAGTAGTTAATTCCATTCCTAGCTTACACTAGGTCCTAGTTTGCTTCTCTGTTGCTGTGATAAAACACTGACCAAAAGCTACTTGGGGAAGAAAGGGTTTATTTGGTTTATATGCCCCTATCACAGTCCATCACTGAGGAAGCCAGGGCAGCAACTCAAGCAGGAGCAAAGGCAGCAACCATGGAAGAGAGCTGCCTACTGACTTGCTCAGCTAATCTTTCTTACCTGACTAGGGATGGAACTGCCCAAGTGGGCTGGGTCCTTTCCTCCCCAAGTTGCTTTCGGTCAGTGTTTTAACTTCCTAAATTGAGGTTCCCTCTTAATAGGTGTCTCTAGTTTGTGTCAAGTTAACAAAAACTAACCAGGACAGACCACGTGCTCTTGACATTTTTCTTTTATGACGTTTTGATGAAGAAAATGTCCAATTGCCTCACCCTGCATCCCTGTACAGCATGTTAGAAGCCAGAGCGGTCTGCGTCCTGATTCCCTATTTGCAAGCTGAGTAACCTCTTCAGAGGATGGCGTGATAAGAATAGGAAGTAGGAATTGGCTAGGCAGTTAGGGTAAAAAGACCCCAAAGTAGCCAGCTTCTTGGCTAAAAGTCAAAATGTTCTTGGGGGTCCAATTGCCTCACCCTGCATCCCTGTACAGCATGTTAGAAGCCAGAGCGGTCTGCGTCCTGATTCCCTATTTGCAAGCTGAGTAACCTCTTCAGAGGATGGCGTGATAAGAATAGGAAGTAGGAATTGGCTAGGCAGTTAGGGTAAAAAGACCCCAAAGTAGCCAGCTTCTTGGCTAAAAGTCAAAATGTTCTTGGGGCTCTTAGCAACATACTCTGTTCCAAAGGCCAAAAATGTCAAAAGTATTTGGGAGCTTGTATCTAATCCTTAAAGATTTTAGGGTTACCTCTTCGGGGGTGGGGAATGTTAGAGTAGCCAAAAGCCCCATAAAAAAAAATAAAAGAAGAAGAAAGAGTACATGAAGTTATCAGAAAAAAGTGATGGGGAGATATGGGAGGAGTTGGAGGGGAGGGAGTGGGCATGGATTTGATCAAAACACCTTATATGCATG